GAAGGAGAAGGAGAAGGAGAAGGAGAAGGAGAAGGAGAAGGAGAAGGAAAAGGAGAAGGAGAAGGAGAAGGAGAAGCGAGGGAAGGGCATGGAAGAGAAAGAAAAGAGAAGGGGAAGGGAGAGGGAAAGGAAGGAGAGCGAAAAGGAAAAGTTAAGGAAAAGAAAGAAAAGGAGAGGAGAGGAAAAGAACGCCCTTGCCAGCAGCCTTGTGGACAATTTTTTGTGGCTCGCACCAGAACTATATAGAGCTTTCTTGAATGGCCTTTGGCAGAATAAATATGTCAGGCTTCTAGTATGGAGGATATTTCCGATAAATTTGTTCTTGGAGGGGGGTGACCTTTACCTCTACTACGGCGCCTCCCTTTTCTTTTTCTTGGTTTTCGCGGTTTTTGTGGTTTGTTTTCACTGTTTTTAGGTTTTCGTGGGTTTTTGCGTTTTCACTCCGGATGCCTGCAAATCCCCATGTGCAAACAATTTCCTGGAACCAACTAGGGAACACTTGAATCGCATTGACATATTGAGGCCGGGAACCATATTATATGTATAACTGTATAGCCCCTTATAGTTTTGGGGATGCATCAAGCACTCAAAGTTCTGGCTGTCAACACCAACGAAGTCGCGTTGGTGGGGTGCAAAACAGCGGTCCGTTTGGGTCATATTTCCTTGGGGCATGTTCCACCAAAGTTCGTGGACGTGAGGCGAAGCATGGAGAGTCTTTAGACATTTTTCATTTGGTCAATGTGGGACTCGACTTGATTGAACTGTCCCTTGACTATCCCAAATACCTTACATGGTCTATGCCCTAGGCTACCACATCCTCAGAAGGTAGTTAGTTAGACCCCCCAGCACCCACCCCAACGACCTTCGAAACGGAAGTAGTTGGAACACCAGGGATGCACAGTGCTCCCTTCTTGACCACCAATCAAATTTGTTCATCGCTTGGGAAAAAAACCTCTCAACCGCCGCTGCAAGCTGCGATCACTTAGGAGCTGTCCGATGGCTACTCCACACTGCATGGGAACCCAGCAAAAGATCCAGGTATACATTATATATTGATATTTTTGTTCAGTTCTGCTCTGTTTTTGCTTTGAAGGCTCAAGTAGATGGCCCTTAGAGCAAGATTTGCCAGGCAAATTGACTGGTGACTAACTTCTCCCCACAGACTTGGAGGATAGCGGCCACCTTTTTGCTTTCACAGTGTTGAAACTGTTCTTAGGCCTTGAACCTTGAACCCGGACCAAACATACCACAATAGGTTGCTACCTGTATTTGATTTTATTTGAGCCCAGATCCTGCATCATGCCGTCACTGAATCTCATCGTGCCAAACGCAGATAATCAAGCCTCAAGCCAAAACTCACCACCAAGCCTTGAAAGGGTTAGAGTCACCCTTTGGACAGCAGAAACAGCCGCTTGCCAGCGTCATCTTGTGATCCTTGTCTTGGCGCTGTGAAAGACGCATGAGCCTCTTCCTGGAGAACCCCTTCCGGGATGTGTGCATTAGGCGTGGAGGGACCCAGGTCATGGGAGGTTCAGGATCAGTTGGCAGGCGAAAACTGTGCTTAGGAGGACAGACTCAGAAAATTCTCATCCGGAGGACATCGTTCAGTTGTCCAGGAGGGAGTTATCCCACCATAAACTAGCACCTAGCCACCCTGGCATCATCTTAGCCAACCCTGAGTTTCAATGTGCCCGCAACTGAATGCCTCATTTTGTAGGATGCCCTTTAGCAGAGAGCAGTGTTCGGTTTACTCGTAGATGGAAGCAAACAGAATTGGTGGTACTTGGGTGGAAGATTTCAGCAAGAGCTTGGGGCTCAGAGCTGATTGGGCCAGGTACCGACAGAAACCAGTGACCAGAAGCCTAGTTCTACATGCAAGACTCCCTGGATCTGAGTATGGGTATTTTAATTCACACCTGTATATTGGTCCCAGACCACATGGATAGGGTTTGATGCGCCTTGCCCTCAAAGCAGGCCAGTGGTGACCGCTCCATTTCTGCCTGAGAAGAAAGGCCAGCTGAGAGCGTCAATGCCATCGATGAGACAGGCAAAACCAAGAGCAGACCTGACACCATACCATAGAGGTATTCATCAATCGGCCCTTCACTATTCTACTTTATCAACTTGGCAAGTCAATTGGCCCACTGGAAAGTTCGATCAACCACCCAGACTGCTCGAACTTTCTACACCTTCCTCTTTAGCGAGATCTGAGATCTTCCCGGCGACGGCTGCGACGGCTGCGCCCTGCAGGCAGCGCGGCTGAGATGCTGGAGACGCTGGAGGCGACTGGAGCGGTCGCCGGGTTCTGGGAAACGCCGATGTAAGGTGCTTCAGAAGGACATTTGGTTGCGGGTGTGTACTATGGAAGAAGGAGAACCCCCCTTCCAATCGTTTGGTTTTCGTTGTAGGCTGAAAGATTTGATTCGTTCGTTTTACCATTGTGGACTCTTTGGAGGTCTCCTCTACACATCCATATCATGCAGCATTGCCAAGCTCAATCCTCCATTTTCAGGCTATAAACCTGTATCAATGAACATCTTCTCCCAGCGAAAGTGCTTAAGCACGGAAGGAAGGCAACCGTCGTTTAAACAAGGCAAAATCGATGGTATCGGTATGACGTTTCTTTTTTATCAACAAAATGGAGCCCAAAGTGTGACACACAATCGAGCAATCGTGAAGGTTGACTGATGTGACTGCCCAGGGCAAGAAGCCCAATTTATCCAGTTGCCAAGGACGCCAAATATAGGGCCTGGTCAGGACGCCAAATACAGACCACTTGGGAACTGGTCAAAGGCAACTGGGCGAAGCGCCCAACATACGGCTTGGCCCTTCGTGAGCTTGGCCGCCCGTGTGCTTACGTGGCTTGACGCACAAGGAATGTACTGTAAATGATGTGCGAGAACTCGTCATATTTGTTCGTTGCCCAAATTTCTTTGTCCCTAACTTAGCGGGGTCAGTTGTCCCCTCTAACCCTAAGTGCAGTAAACTGGTACATGGCCAATCACCCGAGCCTCACACTAAACTGAACCGGAGGTATGTACTCTGAGCCCTGTGCTATGACCACAAATTGATGAATCCACCCCAAATGCCTCGGAATGAATCGCTGGGGATTTGTTTTTCCAGCCATGAATTGCTAGGTCCCGGAAGGAGCTCTCTTTACCTCTCGGTTCCAGAGCTCCCTCCAGGTCCGAGAGCGCACGAGTACCAGCGCTACCTCGCCGGAGCCTAGGCGGTCCTGCCAGGGTTGATTCAGAGAGTAAGAATGGCTGGATGAGTGAATCCTTAGTCGTATTTTTGCCGTTGAGTCACTCCTGGACGTCGACGTAGGAGAAAGTTGTGAACAGTGGTTGCCTTCCCTTGCCAAGAACTGAGGGCCAGGACTTTTCAAAGCAACCCTTTGCTTTGTTGATGCAATTTACGATTCTAGGCGATCCAGGTATGATGACACACACACACACAGAGATACACATTTGAGGATGGTCGAGCAAGTTGAACAGAAACTATATATTGCTTTTTGTTTATGACTACATGCAGCTGCTGCGTGGTGAATGACACTATTGTGTATAGGCGTTCCAGGGATGTCGAAAGTGCCTGCCAGTTCTTTGGTGTATTCCTCCCATACATATTGTAGATTGTGCTCAAGTGCAATCCTTCAGAATCTCCATTTGGGGTGCCGCTGCTCAAAGTTTGAACTCTCCACATTCAGCGGCTGCCTTTGTAGGGTTAGAGGTCCAGAGAGTGGCTAGCGGCTAGACATTGGAACAGCCGCAGAATGTTTGGTCAAGCCTGAGGATGCTTACGTCAAGTCTGTCAAGTTGGGAGCACTTGTGTCGTTTCAGTCCATAGACCTGTCCCGAAGTTTGTTCGTTTGAGGCGGCAATCCAGACCAAGAGATCTTACGCGAGTTTTCTGTGCCACCCCCGTTAGCTTTTCATTTGCTGATCCACCAATTCCCTATTATTGAAGAAACTATATAACCCTAGACTGACAGAGGGAGAGTCATCCACAAATGCTTGTTGCAGTTTAAGCCGCTTTAGCTGTTTTGAGGCTCGTAGGCCGCAAAGTGGTTGGGTTGTTGAACCTGTAGCCCCACTCTCCGACCAAACCCCCCACATCCTGGTAGCCCCCAAGGCAACATTGTAACTAACTACTGTATTCAGATCTTGCCTGGTGTTTCGGAGCTGCATGTCTGGTGTTTCGGCGGTTTTTCGGCCCTCCGACTCCGTCCAACGACCGATGCGGGGCGGGGTCGAGGCGGCGCCGTTTTCGGCCGCCGGGCCGTCGCCGTTGCAGGCGCTTTGCTTGGGACCACGGGCCTCCAGACCGCCGAGCCTCGCGGATAGGACAGCGGGATTCGCGCGTGGTGGGAGCGCAGGAATGATTGAACGTCCAGTGAAAGCGCAGGAGTGCAATGCAGGGTCCACCAGGGTGGGTGAGGCTGGGTTGTTGTGAGTTGTTGTGTCTGTTGTTTGGTACATCTTGTGTTTAAAGGGCTGGAGTGGAAGTAAGAAGCCTTGCCGAAAGCTTGAAGACATCCTCCATTTGGAGCCATCACCACAACCTGTTGGTTTGATGCTCCTTTGGGTCTCTGGCTGGCTGTCTTGGTCGTTCCTTTGGTCGGCTTCGTTCTGTTGCAGCTCCCAGAACCGCAGCGCTTGTTTTGATTTATGAAAGGACATGAACACACCCCAGGGTCCAGGGCAACAACGGGAGTTCTGCCTGCTGAGACTGGCATCTTCGGCTCGATCGCCAGGGAGTTCTTCCTCAACTCCGCGCTCCAGAGAGGCACGAAAAACCACCCCGCACGACGCCCCGCGAGACCCCGCGCTGAGAGACACCAGCCAACAGCGGGAACGACAGGGTCTGAGACTCACACGTGGACCGCGCGTAGGAGTCGGTAGGACCCGTGTCCCGTGTGGTGTTCGATTTGACACGTTTGATTAGCAGTGATTCGACAGGTCCAAGTTACTTCCAATACTTCCACGCACGGGTCCTCTGTTCTTTTTCTACATTGCTTCCCTTTGCTTCCCCATGACTTTACTTACTGTGGAGTTTTGACTATTTTTAGCTGTTCACAGATTTTCTCTCCGTTGGCATTCATGGGCAAAAGACACCATGTAATATAACAAGCAGTGAAAGTGACCATGGGAACAACCGGCACCCCATACTAGAACGTGCTTGACATGCTGTTCTCTAAACTACTGGGGTTAATCTAGGTGTTGATTCATGTCCAAAATGCCCAGCGTTCCTGCGTCCCTGTTGGGTGACTTTTTCGGGTGAAGCTCTGCGAAGGATTCGCCGGAAAAGGGCAGAATTCTCCAGAAGGTTCTGCACGAACTTGACAAGTTTCCGGTGTTATTCAGGCAAGCATTACTTTGGATGAGTGTTGTGCTTCAAATGTTTCTTTTGGACACATGCCTTTTAGCAAAAGCCCCGTCCAACAGTTTGTGAGCTGTGGAAGCCTTTTTTCTCAACTTCCAAATCACTACAGTGATAGGGACTTGGACGGGTACAGAGGGACCTGGCGCTCTACGGCTTAGCCCGTTTGGGCTCCACGCATACTTCATGCTTTGCCAGGAATTCAAGTTATTTTTCCAGGCATAGTTTTCAGCAGGCGCTTTCCACGCTCCCAATCCACCAGCACAAGCCATTTAATGTGATCAAGCTTCCAAGCATCCTCCGCAGTTGTCGTCTTTTGGATGTATATCATCAGCAGCAGCTTCCCTATAGATGAACTAATAAGACACATATATGTGTTTTAACAAGACACATTCCAAATAAGATGCAACAGCTTTTGCCCCACCAGCATCCAACAAAGGATCGAGGCACGGAGGCTGAGAGGAACGACACGGTTTCGGCAGACGGGCAGACGAACCCGGACCAGATGAAGCGGCCAAGAGCAAAACAAGAGTACACCAACTCAAAGGGTTTCTCAGTTCGTGGGAATTCATGCGGGAAAGCACGGGCTTTTGATTATCTATGAATGGTTGTATAAAGGCTGTTCAACCTCTGTTTAGGGTCCCCTAAAACCACCCCAATGTGAAATAAGCCAGGCCCATGGATGGTCTAGGCATGAACAAAGTCCTAAACACCTCAGCACAATCGTCGCAGCCGTGACCCGCTCACCGCCTTCGCCTCTCATGCCGTGACCCGCGAGCGAGCAAGGGCCGTGGCCACTCGAGGCGCCGGTCCAGTTGCTCAGCTTGTGACCCGAGGCCCACTGGCCACCAAAGCAGACTGTGACTGGCCGAAGAAGAACTTTTGGATTCCACCCGAAATCACGTCTTTGTTTGTTTTAACGGCTTGAGCAAAGTGCCAAAAACGGCGGTGAACTCTTCTCCAAGGTGTTTTTTCAGCTCTTGGAGCGCACACTTTTCAAAGGAAGCGGCTCTTGGTGGATGTTTCGTTTGAGTTCAGTGATGAACCATCCGCAAAGGCTTGGTTTAGTTCAAATGTGCTGGGTTCAGTGATGAAGAATCCTGGCGCGTGAGTCTTCTTGGTTTGCTTGGGTGTGGCTAAGTTGTTTGATTTCCGCAACGAACATGATTTTGCGTGACATGTGTGACCACAACCAAATGCTTGGTTTTTCGTTAGACCCACAACCAGATATACAAAATAGAAGAAACCAGAGAAGCTCCAGAACGGAGGTACCTCAACTGCCCTTTCCAAGGTAATTGATGTTTTGCGGAAAACCAGTCGTTGTGTTGGCTCAAAGTATGACACAACCAGCCGCTGGTTTCGGCCACTCGAGCAGTCTTGAAAACCACTTTAGACCGCAAGCGCGCTAGCGCTTCTTTTGTATTGGGCCAGCCCTTGGTCGCCCTCGTCGTCCGCCCAAACCGGAAGCGGCGCTCCGTGGCCCGGAAGCAGCGCCGCGAGGTCCAAGATGAGCTCATGGATAGTCCCGCCTCCAAGAAGCAGGCGTGTTCTGACACAAACGCCCCCCCCGGTGCACGGGCGCGGACCCCCGAACCCCTCTTCGCGCCCCCCAGCAAGCCAAAGGAGGAAACACACACACACAACACATGTTTCGTGATATTTGAGCAAGCACCTTTTATAGACATGGTTCTGACTCAAGCGGGCATTGCGGCATGTGTAATTTTTGTTTGTTGTTTGTTTGTCCAACATCAGTATTCGCTGGTGAATGAGATAGGGCCCTCAGATTCAAGAAGATACTTTGTTTATTTTTGTTTGATGACACTAAAGTAGTCCGAACACGATAATTACTGTGATCTTCTACCAAAGTAGTTTGAACGAGATCTGGTGACATGACCTCCTACTCAAGTAGTCTAAAGCGAGATAGGGCCCCTACATAATAGATCGTGTATTTGAGTTTAGCAGCAAATCTGGAACAGTGGCAGTGTTTTTGTTTGGTACAGCCCCATCGAGGGATCCACATAAGAATGTGTGTTGATCCTGGAGTTGAGTTGATCACCCAGCTGCTTCAATCATCCCACACCACCTTCACAGAGGACTTGTAGTTTCGATTTCTTTTCTGCGAAGCCTTCAGGCGCGCTCCGGCACCAGCGGGACGCCACGCCGGAAGAAGGGACGCCGCGGGGCAGACAAGGCCCGGTGCCGCTTTTTCCGGCCTCAGCGTTAGGAACAAGACCAGAATGAGAATCCACAAGACGTTCTGAGAAGGTGGTGGGATTTTTCAAAGGCCGGAAGGAGAAACGGCTCACATCAGGAGGGATAGACGATCGGAAAGTACACTTGGACCACCTGTGAGGTGACTAAAAAGAACCACCCATGAGGGGATGGACGACTGGGGAGGCATGTTCTCGGTGCCGTTGGGAATCCAACGGTCGAGTCCAGCTATGTCCAGGTGTGTGGAGAATCGGGTAGCCTTCGTGGTCTGTGGACGGTCCGCAGGGTCCGCGTCGGCTTTGGGATTTGGCGCTTCCTCAAACTCCTTGGGACATCGCTGAAGGGCGGGTTTGTTGGAAGAAGCATGACATGAACGATGTGACAACGGGTGCTCCTATTAGTTTCGGAGAGAAAACACACAAAGACACAGATTTCGCTTGGGTGCGGAGGCTGCTAGCTTCTGTCAGCGCCGCCCAGACGGTTTCCAGTCCGTCTCCTCCCTCCCTCCGCTCCCTTCCGGGGGAAACTCTGGCCAGCGCTGGCCAGGCTCATGGCTTCAACCTGGAAGATCTCACGGTTCTTCGGTTCGCAGATCTCCCGCGGACGCGGACGCGCGGAGCTCCGTGGATCGGATCGGATCCGGAGTGACCGAAGTCCACGCGACGAAACGGTTCACCTGGCTGAAGCCTAGCGCCGTGTCACGCAACTGCTATCGGTGGATTCAGGGACGAAGTCTGCTATCGGTTGAAAGGGCATTTGGTTGGGATTGCTTTTGGAGATGGTAGGACCTGGTAGGACCCGGAAAAAACTGACGTGCGTTGAAAAGGATTGGTTGGTCCATGTGCACCCAGTCCAGTTGTTTGGGGGGTCAACGATGAACGGCGGACCTACGCTGGACCCAGATCCTGGAAACCGGCAGTAGAGGGGAGAGTGGCAGTGTTTTGTTTTTTTGTTTTGTTTTTTCTGGAAGTGGCTGGGTACTTATTGGACTCAATTGACTTATATATAAGTTCAAATTTTGGGTGCATCTGAAAGTCAGATTGTCTTGGACCTTACCGTAACACACATGTCACATGTCACAAATCTCAAGTACTGTATCACACATGGCTTCTACTAGTACATCCTTCAACCACTTCGTCATCCAGTACTAAGGCTTTCATTAGGCAAACATAGGTTCAGATCATGCACAGGCCTACAATGGTGGAAGTTAACACCTTTACTTTACGCCTTTAGGCGAATCACTTGCTGGCAACATTTGGTGGCTTTCACAGAGGAGAACCACCAGACCTGGCTAAATCTTTTCCCAGTCTATTTTGACTTTTTCCCAGTACCAAGCTTTAGCATTTGCTTGAGCCCATCGAACACGCCCACCAGGGATGCTTCGAAGTGGACCGTCGCCTTGCCAAAGCCAACCATTCCGAGGCTGCCCGCGCCTGGGAGAAGCTCAAATCCTTGGCCTCCTTGTGCCCAGCACCGGAGAGGCGCAGTTCGTCGGATCTGCGTCGGCGCACGGCCACGGTTGGGTCTCTACTGATTTGATCACCCAGCATTCGGGCGGAAAGACATCGGCTCAAAAAAGAGAGGGGAGTTCTTTCTTGCTCATGGCAGCTGGGAGATACAGCCATCACACATGCGATTTGATGCAGCGATGCAGAGAGAACACCACAAGAATTGCCTTGGGGCTATGTTTCCGTATTCTCTGTTGGCATGGAGCTGATTTGCAAAGCCGTGGACTCTTGATGGAGAGCTTAGAGAGTTGTTGAGTCAAGGTGACATGGAGGGGTGTTAGTGTATATATATATATACACCTGAAACCTCGTGGTTGCTTTCTTGTTGGCCGCTGGTTCGGCTTACCTTGGTCTGGGTCTGTGAACCACACAAACATCCGCAACCGAAGCTTCGTCATCCGCTGAAAAGGCACCTTTGGGTCGAAACGCCCCTCTTGAGCCCTGTGTCTAAACGTCCCTGGAATATCAGAAAACTCATCAGCAGACTCATCAGACGGAGTCCGCATGTTTGCGAAACGCAACAAATCCTGCGGACTCAGAGGGCGAAGCTTGGGAGCTTGGGAACTCGGGAGCTTGAAACCTTCGCAGCCCACGACGTTGCCTGAAAACGCACAGACCCCACTTGATCTCCCAGACCCGTGGACCCGCGTCCAGTTGCGTGGAGACGGCGCTGGTGGTTAAGGATCGGATTGAGGTGGGACCCGCGGGTGGGGAAGCGTGGGCGGAGGCCGAACAGGGTGGTCCTTTCGTGTAGAAGAACGGACATCACGAGACAAACACAATGTACTTGTCAATAGTCAGGTGCTTACAAATCGTTATCAATTCCCTTCACTTCAGCATTTTTAGCATTCCCTGTTGGAGAAACCAATGGCGGCTGCCCACGTCTGCCCAAGAAAACGCCTGCAGGGCCGTTACTGCATGGAGGCGATCGACTCCGAACGCTTGCATTCCAGCAGGCGCCGGCCCGATGGCCGCTTCCGTCCGATCCGTTGGACACATGGCACTAGGGGGTCAGATGGAGGTCATGGCACTAGATGGATGTTCCAGGGTTCTTTTGTCTATTTTTTTGGTGCTCCCATCTGTTTGAGAGGAGGAATCATGGGGCTCGTGGTATGTCGTACTTCCTGTGACACAAGGGCAGTAATCCCTAGTTTTGATGCTCTGAATGTGCACGATATTAGTGTATGCTTGTCTTGGTGACAGAAGTACACCTCAAGAAAAGAAACAACCGCGATTGGTATCACAAAAATTGGGTTCCCTTCCATACCAATGGAGCCAGAACCCAGTGTTCACATCAGCCAGGTCCTGCCAGCCTAGCATGAAGTGATGGTTTTGTCTAAGCACAATCTGAGTCTTGTTGCAGCTTTGATTCAAAATCGTTGTTTGAAGTTGTTGTTTCCCTTTGAAGCACGATAGCAGAATCCTTAATTTGGCAGCAGGGATGTGATTTGTTTTCTGTGATTGTTGCCTTTCCTTTCTCTTGTAGCACGTGCTAGACAGACCTTTGAAAGGAACAGAACATCCTCCTCACAACAACCACAAATGAAAGGAACACAATTCCTTCCCCTCCCCAACAAATTACATACAATTCACTCATTTCCAAAAGAACAGGACCTCACCACAGTGTTTTCTCCTTTTGGGAGGCAGGCACATGGCATTTCACTTTGCTCGGTCCTTCACACGCATTTTGGGATCAAGAAACGGCAGCTTGTCGCACTTGTGTTGCGTATGCAGCTTCTTTCATAATGTTGTGCACTTGCCGGAGAATTCGGTACATTCCTAGGATGTGACAAGCTTCGTTTGGAAACGCAACCTGTATGCAACATGAAGCTAGCAGTCAGGGGTTAGCATACTCCAAAGATGACAAGGTCTAGCTGAAAAAGTCTTTTAAATCATACGATTGTCTTTTGAAAGTCCACAGCTAAATAATGGATAGCCTTCAAACTACAGAATATGGTGGGTTCAGAATGCTAATTCAACCACCGAGACTTGTTGCGGACTGATTTCACGCAGAATTCACAGTGCTTGCCATTCATGCTGAGCATCCTCGCAGTGTTTACACTGGTCTCTGCACAAGACTTGGGAGATGAGGAGAAAGGGGGGTCCCCGTCGGCCGAGAAAGGGAGATGTCCCGTCGGGTGGTGAAGCTTTCGTGGTGATTGAGGGTGTCCATCAAATAGTCTTAGGTGGAGGGTGGAGGAACCGGAAGGAAGAGCAGAGCCGAAGCCCCGGAGGAAGTTCAACCATCGAAGCCCCAAAAACTCAGGAAACCAACGACCAGGACCCTTTGATCAAACGAACCCTTCAGGGTTTCACATCCAGCTGGTCCAGCTCACAGCCTCTTCAGGACTTTCCAGGCGCTTGCACCATCAGCACCGGAGGGCAACATCTCTGCGCTTTGAGACTCGGAAGGCATGGAGCCGCGGAGCCGGTCGGAAGGACCAGCTTCGCTCAACAGGCGGGTTTTTTCTGGCAGGCAAAGACACACAACACACACACACACATCATATCCTTTGGATGATTCGGACGAGTTCTTCCATGATTTTTCTGTGGGGCCCATCTGATTCAGACATCGTCTGTGATGTCTGATGCGCGGACAAGGCGCCATTTGCATCGGCATGTTTTGTGGACGTGTGATCCCCACCCGACTGGCTGTGACTCCAGCTGCGACCGGCTGTGACAGCTGCGACCCCCAAATGCTTCCATAGACTAGAATCACTAGAATCAACATACCTTGGAGTCTCAATACCAGTTCATCGAGACAGATTGACAGATTGAGTCTAAAACCCACTTGAACCAGATTGAGTTGATTCAGGCCCGGAGTTGCAACTGCGTTCAAAAAGACGATCCGGAGATATATTAACACCATGCCTCCAAACATGATAACAATCTTTATTTCGTCGCCGGGCCTCTGTCAGTCCCGAAGCATCCTCATCCAAATCCATCAATCAAGAATCGACCTAGGGTGTATATGTATTTGTTCACCCAAAAAAGGTGACATGCAGTCATTGATTCAAGGTTTCAATAGGTTTCAATCACCGATGTTACCATTGTGGTCACCGCTATCACCGGTATCACGCCGAGGATCCAGGCGAGCAAAGAGGTGGTGTGCTGGGGAGCAGGCACGACGGCACGAGTCGCGCACTGCGTGCGGCGTGCGAGGCCCGTCCAAGGCACTGGTTTGGGGTTACACAAAGAGGGCCACATAGTCCAAGTTCTGTTTAGTCAGCACTGATGTGTCAGCCGTTTTGCGTTTCTCACTGGACAGCTTGGTGTTTTGATTGTTTTGTTGCTTGAAATCGGCGGGAAACGTGGATTGTTTGCTGAACTGACCTGCTTCGTTTTGTTGGTTCATGAATGATTTGTTTTTGGACATCCACAGACCTGAGGTTGGACATGGATGAAAAGAGGGACCAACCTTTTCTGCCATGGAGTTTGATAGGTGTGTGGAGTTCGAGTGTCCACCATGTGGAGTCCTGCTGTATCTTGCTCAAGAACCGGTCTTTTCAAGATGATCGGATTCCCTCGGTGAACATCAAGCTTCTACATGATCTGTAGACTGTAGATTCTGTAGATCATCTTGAATCCATTGACATTGAGTTTGCAACCGGCTCTCGTCCTGTAGTTGGGAGAGGCGACTTCGGCCAGCTGGGTGACAACCAAGCCCGCTCCAGCCACACGCCCGTGCGGGTGCAAGGCGGCCTGGATGATCCAAGCACCGCAGATTCACAACGTAAATGCGGGTTCCAGTAGAAAGAGCAAGTTCTTTGTGTGCGCATGTCACAGTCTGTGCTTAATTTGCAGTTTATATCGAGCTCTTTTTTGTCTTTTCCTCTGTTCCTTGCAAAGAGCTCACTGCAACGCAGCTTGCAATACATCAAGACCCACAGAGCTTGTGGTTCTTGGACATCGCTTGACTTGCAAGGGGCGATGAGTAGACATCCCTTAGGCTTAGATCCCTTCAGGGTCTCTCAGACCAAAGAAGAATCTCAGAACTCAGAACTGTCTGCGTGTCCGTGTTTGTGTCTGAGACCATTGATCGCCAACTCCACGTAGAGCATCGTAGATTGGTTCACTGTGTGAATGTGTTACTTGCCATGCTGAAGCTGGCAAGTGAGATCCACTGCCTGTGGTTGTTCAAAGGCGTCAGTCTGCGTCAGTGACCAACAATAACAAAAGCTACAAAACTGCCAGGGACTTCAAAAGGTCTCACAGGGTGGGTGGCGGATCACTTCATCAATTGGGCACCAAGCAAAAGCATCCCCGCCTCGGTGGCGCTTCACGGAACCTTCGGGCGACGTTCTCCACATCCCCAACGCCGACCGGGGAACCGACTCCGCCCACGTTACGAGGTCTGGGCCCCTCCCTGGTGGTCACTGCTGGTGGCCTCCACTCGTGTGCCGTGGAAGTGTCTGGACGCGCCAAGTGCTGGGGCAAGGGTGAGGACGGACTCTCCAGTGGGGCCGGTTTTGGTCGGGTTGAAGCTGGGAGGACAGCGCTTTTGGGTGTGAAATCTCGAAAGGGGTCCACACCTCGGGGACTTTGGAAGGTGTTTTGGTGGTGATTGAAGCGGATTCTTGGGTACAAAGACCATGTCTTGCCTGTGTGAACATCTTGTGTGCATGTGAAGCTTGGCTGCGTGGATCAACTATCCGTAACTCCAAACCTCAACAGGCCCAAAATGCTGAGTGGACTCAGTTTGACTGACCTTCACTGGGCTTAGGCTTCATAAAAACATCCAACAAAAATGATCCCAAAATAAGCATCAACAAACATCCCAAAAGTCCTTGACTTCCACGCTGATGCCTTCCGTCCACCGACGCCACGACGGCAGGATGGCCAGTTAGGCTTCGGCGGCCGCTCCCGCCGCCACGACGCGCGCCCTGTGGCGCAGCTGGGCGTCGCGCTGGACGTGCGCGCGGGGGGATCGCATACCTGCGCGCTGGAGGCGGGGGGAGGGGCATGACACGGGATGATGAGATGCAAATGGCTGGAGGACGTGATGCAAAGACGAACAAGGTAGATTTATGGGAGACAGATGCATATGCTGAGGCTATATATAGAGAAAAGGACCCTAAAAGGATGATCATCCAACAACCAACTTCTCTACAACTATTGTAGCTGTATTGTTTAACCTAAAGACACTGTTCCAAATGACAGACTGCCCCAAAAGTAACAGAATTCTCCTGCCGCATGCCTTCGGCTCACCAGCTGTGGGTGTTTGGCCCAATCTGGTGAGGCGGGCGGCGCCGTGCGCTGCTGGGGCTGGGGCGAGTTTGGGCAGCTGGGCAATGGGCGGACACGGGATTCGCTCTACCCGCTCCGGGTCCAGCACTTGGCACCTCGGACGAACGCAAAGTCTCCGTTGCCGGCAAGCGCGGTGTAGCCGGTGCTGGTGCAGAAGAGGGGGGTGGAACAAAGGGCTTGGGTTGAGCCAAACGAGAAATCCTATATAGGATAGGTGACTGTATAGGGAGCGATGCGGGTTGATACTATGTCCCTATACATGATACCTTTTAAGGATGTGGTTGAAGCGAAGAACCAATGCATGAAATGGCCCGAGCTCAGAAGAGTGCTAGAAGAGTGTGGTCCTCTATATAGATATAGCCAATCACAAACAGATGGTATTAGTTAAGCCATATCAATGTATCCTGCAGAACGACCTGGGTGCCAACAATTTAGACCCGTGTCTGTGTGCCAACAGAGGATACCCTCTATAGACAATGTGTTCAAAACAGGATCTTTCTGTATTCATGATGGGCTCACTTTGTTGTTGGGAGGAGAGACCGATCTGAAACATGATGATAAGGTAATAAGGACGCCCCATTTTTGTGTATGCAGTAAGTCTTTAGCGCTCATGTCTCTTGCTGGGTCACAAATTCATGGTGGTTGGGCGTTCCAACGGTGCAAGATGGTGCCAGGAGCGGGCCAGAAAACACTGAGCTCCACCGAACTCGCTTTCTGGATGTGTTCGACCCAAAAGCTGGTCTCTCGCCATCGTAGTTAAACATGCAACATGGGGAGGACTCTCACCATCCTGCCAAAAACCATGGTCTTTGAAGCTTCGTATTTTTTTGTGTGTCATGTCTTCATGAGTTTAAACATGTTTAAACAACTGTTTGTATCAAATATAGGATCACCATACCTGGAACGACTGGGGCAGACTGGGAGTCCATGTGACCTCAGTGACGCGAGGACAGCGCCATCGCGATTTGTTCGGGTGGCTTACATAGCTGCGCCGTGGAAACTGGTGGCTCCGTGAAGTGCGGCTTGGGATATGACCGGATATGAGATTGTTTTGTTTGTTTTGTTCTCCAGATTTTTTGCTACTAGGTTGGAGGCCATCGCAACTAGGTTGGAGGCCATCGCAAGTAGGTTCAGTGCTCTGCTGATGTTGTGGAGTTTTACAGAAAACAATGAGGTAACATTTTTTGGACGGGTCGTCCAGATTGATCAGAAGTTGGGTGTACACACATAATTTCTGGGTGACCATGGAACTGGCAGGTTCATGGAAAAGACATGAAAAGACTGAAGGAGAAGACACTGGTTCACGACTCCCGGTGCTCTACGGTGAACATCTACCCACATGGTTCTCTCCTCGAGAGGGGTCTACTCCAAAGGTGATCACTGTGAGTGCCCACTGGGACGTGTTGGGATCGAAAGAACATCACCTTCTTCAGAGCATGCATGTCATTTCTTTTGTTCTGGGCTTGCCTCCAGAAAAGAGCATGTGAAAATGTTCAGGGCTTACCATGGACTACCGGCTGAACATAGTTGTTGGCGAACCTTCCAACATGATCGACCACTTGGATTTGCCGAGAGTTTTCTCCGGCTGCTTGGGTCACTGGAAGGAATGTTGGGAATGCATAGATTTCCCACTCCATGACAGTGGCATATTGTCATGCATTGAGGTGGTTTCAGGGGTCAAGGTAGGTCAATACTCCATACATGGAGTGTTTTGGTTTTGTACTGTGGCATCACTTGTGCTTAATTTGGTCGACTTCTAGTCACTGGACTCGACTGAAGTCGATTCTCGGTACCAGGAAATTCGAGCTCCCTAAGGATTCCTGAGATTGCTAGGGGTTCCCGAGCATGTTAGAAGCGTTGTGTGTTTTGAAGGGTGGTGTTGCGACCGGACATCGAGGTTGGGGCTGGGGCGAGCGCGGGCAATTGGGATCCTTCAATGGCACACAGAGATCGAGTAGCCCTTTTCCCGTGGAGATCGAGGGGATCGAGGACGCGCCACGAGCCGCGCGGTCGGCTTGCCCGTGGCACGTGGGTTGGTCAGTGGATCGACTCAATCGAGGGAGTAGAGAGTTTCCCGACGTGCCCCATCAACAAGAGACATGTTGTTTCTTTTTGCAACAGGATGACAGGATGCAACAGGTACCAGAACTTCCTGCACAGAGTGAAGGTTTGAAGGTTCCTTGGTTTTGGGCAGCTGGCAGTTGATTCTTAGCTTTGATGGAGCCAGCAAAGGGCCTATTTTTCTCAAGAGCTTGGTCAGGATGACATCTAGCCTTTTTAAAACATGCTTTGGTCGGACTGCCTTCAGCCTCGACATGAACCGAACCCAGGCCGTGTTCAGATTGAAATGTTACAACTTCTTTGAGTGACTACATTTACAGCGATTTTTCTTGATGGTATGAAAGATTCGAACGTGCTCCACTTGCATCGATCAGCCGATCCGCCCAAACTCTGTGATTCGCTGGCGAGGATGCGATTGACGTGGCTTGTGGATACCAACACTCCTGCGCCATGAGCCAGAACACCACTGTTTGCTGGGGCGATGGCATTGACCGTGCCTGGGTTGTTCAAGAGACTGGTTTTGTATGCCATACCTTATCTAGGTCGGTGAAAGGAAAGGACGGCTTTAGATTCTTTGCCGAGGCAGCCTACTGTAAGTTGTTCCGAGACAGTTGGCAGGTCGTCCTTCCCAGATGATTGAGCCAGAATGTGGATCACATCCAAAAGCTTCAATCCCAAAAACTTTGGTTCACTTGCCATATCTTTACAGCTTAACCATCATTGGACTCCCCGCAGAGCAAGCTGGAGCCAAGCTGGTCCTTTCGGGGTTTGGACCCGAACCAAAGCTTCACCCGATGGATGACCGGATCACTGTGGCCACCGTGACCACCGGTCACTCGGTTTTTCCAATCCAAGCACCGGTCCTGGTGCTTGGATTCCGCCACATCTCTTACTCCAATGGATATATCAGCGGAAAACACCAAGTCCCTCATTTTTGCGGCTCCATCTGCGAATGGACTCCTGGTGATGGTCTTTTTGGAGGCGTTCCTCTTCAACCCGAATTGGCGGATCGCAACCCAGTCGGCCCATCAGCGCTCACTAAGTCCAGTCTCTATGGCAACCATCTCCATACCACGACATACAATTTCACCTTACGAACAGTTCCTGTATGAAGTATTCCTTATCAGAAAGCTGTCCAATTGTCGGCTCGATGCTCTACAGAAACGTGCCCTTTCTTTCGTGACGCACGTGTGCGTTCTTCCCCGCAGGTCAGTTGCAGCGCCATGATGAGATTTGGGCCAAGACCACACGGAGGATCATGCGGCTGAACGAAGCTTTGAGAATAGCAAACACAGCAGACGCTTTATGGGATTTGCATAGTTGACGACGACGACGACGTAAAAGGTGTTTGGGTTAGCCGCCAAAGATGCAGGCCAAACTTAAGGAGACCAGGAAACAAAAGTAGCCGAGCGGCCCACCTCCCATATCACCCGCAAGTTGTCAGCCGGAAGTGGTGCTCAAACGGACTAGGAGAAAACCTTAGGAGTGTGAGGGTCCAACTAGTGACCTGGCAAGTGTTGGAGAAATGGCTTAGTGCCTCTAGCAGTCCAGTCCGTGCCTCGCGCACGGGGTGAACCACGTGGGGTTCTAGTTCAACTAGCCACGGCCGCGACCGCGGCCCTTCTTGCCCTTTCCTTCCCCCTTTCCTTTTCCTTTGTTTCCGTCTCGGCGCCGCCGGCGGCGCTGCTGTTCTTCCGGGGCACGGTGGAAGTAGATAGCTAGCAAGTCAGTTTCACTGTTATCCCGAGCGGCGCTATTCTGTTCGTTCAAGTGCTGACCGAACCCAGCGCGGAGGGTGCGAAAGATCTGGAAGGCAGGTCACCAAACTCGAGTTTGAACACAAGGTGACCGGAAGCTCGGATCCTCTGGTTAGTGTGCTGGTCTCGGGTGCTCCACAGTTTGTTGGGCAGGATAAACCTAGTGCCTAAAAGCAGTGCCGGAACCAATGCAAACCAAAGCGGGGGAAGAGCTCGGCTCGCGAAACCGGTTTCCTGAGTCCATGAGTCGGCAGTCTTGTCCACGGGGATCAGGAACGGTAACCCAAGTTTCTGGGCCAAGTCTTGACACAAGGCTTCGGCGGCGTCTTTTGCCAAGTGCTCGAACACACGGGAGTCTTCGGCTTGTTTGAACACTTGTTCAACACCGGCAGAGTTTTCGACCACCAGATTCGTTCTTTTGTCGATGCGGTCTACTCGGGTTCTAAGAAGGGCTAGCTCGCTGCCTTGTCTGGACTGGGCTTCGTGTAGAGCCTGCACGTCTTGTTCTAGCTGGTCGACTTTACGCTTTGTGCCGGCTCCGACAGGGGTTGCTGGTCGCCTGGCTGCCATTGAGCCAGGTCTTTGAGCCACGCAGATGCAGTTGACTAGCGCTCTGTGAGCCAAAGGAAAGTGATCAGACAGCACCACACCAATGAAGGATCCAGAGGCGGTTTGAGGGGTAGAACCTGAGACCGGCCGATGGCCCCTCATCCCTCGTGGCGTCCCAGTGTTACTCAGGACATGCCTGGTTGGGGCACCGAGACGTGCAAGGTACCCCGCCTGGGGAAGAGCGGGCATCTACTGGATGTAGCGAAACCGAAATACACCGACCACCTGGTCACTGTTGGCCCAAAAACCGCGCGTGACCCTCACAAGAACCCCACTGGTGCGTACACTCTCACAGTTGACACTCCTTTTGTCATCTCTGGTCGCGAAAACCTTAGCAGCAGCGTCCGGCGCTGGCGAGATCTGGATGTACACTCTGCAATCTGCTCTCCAAGCCTGAGTGAGACACTGTGTCTGAGATGTCGGAGAAGCACCCAAATGCGTTTGCTTTGTGCGTGCCATTGCTTGCGCAGTTACCAGAGCTATATTTAAACACAGAACACGGTGGTGACAGGGACTCCGGGGTGGAACAACAGGCAGCGTGCCGCCCTGACAACTCAAGATTGGAGGTACCAGGTAACTTCGCCCGGCAGCCCACCCAGCGCTGCCCGGCGCGACACCACTGAACCTTTTAAGGGGGAACCCGTCAACACCGCAGGCTCTCTCTCCTGATCCCAAAGTGGTCAAAAAAAAGGTCTTGACCGAAGTAGGTGTTGCCCTTCAAGAACTTGGCAAGTCGTCCGGGGTAGCCCAACCACAACAGGATCTGGGGACACCCTTCGAGGGGTAGAGTTCGTCTCGCCTGAGCACTCAATGAACCCATCAGTTCGCCGGAGCGAGAGTCGCGACGGCCAAGAGGCTTAAAGTGCAGGCGAGTCCCTTCCCTCGCCCGCGTGAAGGATTCCACCGTGGGGAAGGATTTGCATAGTTGCCAATCAGTTGGGGTGGTGTATATGCCATCCATGGAGTGTTTGGGATATGACACTTTTGGGTGAGTGAGGATTCAAGAAGCCGCTGTCGGAGGATTCATGAGCTGCTGTGGACACAATTTCGGGAATCGCAAGTGACTGGGGAGTTTTGGCCCAGTCAGACTAGGCTAGGGTTTGAGCATTTGAGCAATCTGGTTTCTGGTGTTTGGATGTTTTTTGGTCCCGAAAAGCCTGTGGCCGACACCGAAAAAAAACGACGTGTTTGTGGAAATAAATCACGCTGCCCGATGGATCGTTTCCGACTTCACAGCACAGGCCACGCTCCGTCGTCTTTCAGGGACCGTTCCTTCCGCTGTTGGAGCGGAACATCGGCACCGGAGCTTCTCGTGGTCGTGGCGTTGCCGGTTTTCGGGTTTCGTGGATCCATTAGGTCCCTAATCCATGAGGTCACTCCAAACGAGATGTTTTCGTCCAAACCTGAAACCCCCAAACTCTGGTTGGTTGACCATGTCTGGGGGCGTCCATTCTGTTCATTTGAATGACGTCAACCAGTTGGCCCCCCTGGTTTGGACTCATTGCGATCATCACTCAGACATGGTACTTTTCACTCAGACATGCTTTGACGCCCAGACGGGCCCTAGTTCGTGGTCCGACCGTTACGCCCAGGAAATTCTGGAGCTCACAGCGCCGATGCCCACTGAGCCCATGAAATCCGTTTGGTGAAGTCGCAAGACGGCGGCCGTCCAAGACGACGTCAGAAACTGGCTGCAGCTCGAGTGGTACGGGTGACTGACTGGGATCCTGGGGATCCAACTGAAGATTTCAAGAGAAACGGATGGAAACGTATATATATATATATCAATCTAGTTTGTGGTTTAGATAGTTTGAGATTGAAAAGAAAGATCCGCATGATCTAAATAGAAGCAGACAGTCAAAGAGGCTTAGTTGCCATGAACGACAAATCAAGCTGCAATATTGAGTTGGCCGGTCTCCTAATGTGATGAAGTACTAGTCAGGCACCAATCCTTTCGAGCGCGCCGGTAGAATAAAGTGTCGCATGGAGATCAGATACCAAAGTGTGAGCGGCTGCTTTCCGCAAGCGACTTCAGTTTGTCCTGTATGGTTCAAAATGACGGATGTATATTTGCAACCCTCCGAGGACAGCTAGACTGTACAAGTTCGGTCCGGATTGAGCATATCGACCTAAATCAGTAAGATTCTGGACTGCTGGAAACAAGCAATCCTAGGAAGCACAAAGACCAAACGCCTGTTTGCTGAGACATGTTTGGTTGTTTCCCCTTGAAAGATATAGCATCAAAAAGAAGACATGAGTTGCACTACAGACATCAACATCACAAGCAGTGTTTCCTTGTGAAAAGATTTCGCGCTCTCGCTTCAGGAGCTCAGCTGTTTGGAGCCCGAGGATTCCGGATGTTGTTTTTGAAGTTCCGCTGTATTGAAAAAAATGCACGGGGACCAGGTGATATTCACTGTGGACAGCTTGTGTTTTTTCCTTATATATATATATTTATTTATTTTTTAAAGGATAATTGGTTTGTCTTCAGGAAACATCAGTGTCAACCACGAACGGTTGGTGGATCGAATCTACTTTCAATCAACGATTTCTCTCTATTGCTTGATTCCGCCAGCGCGCCTGGGCGCTTGGCCAACGAAAGCCCCCAACATGGGCCTCACCTTTCGTCACGACCCGTCTGGGAGGTCGGGTGGATGTTGCATCAAACGGTCCGGAGCTTTTGTGCAGAACTAGCTCACAGATGGGCTTGTCTCCTGGTTTCTGGAGGAAAAAAGATCAGTTGGTCCCAGATGGCTGTACATCGGTGGGTTTGGAGCCTGAGAAAAAGGATCACGCTGCAATGACCAACGAAACACGGAGTGTATTCAGGGAGTCTCAGCGAAAAAGTAGCTCGAGTCTCCTAGCCTTGATTCTGTGCTATTTCATTACTGTTGGATACTTATCACAGGTAAACGGCCGGATAAACTAGATTGTTTCCCGTTAAGTGTGGAACATGGGAATGATTTCTTTGTGATAGCATTTTGCCTGAGATGCTTTCAGGAAATGAAGACGTTGTATAACCGTGACATAGTTGAGACCAGACATTCAGTGTTTCCACAGCTATGCACTGAAACTGAACATTACAGCTAGTTACATAAATATGGAGTTGCTGGTCCTTTTTCCAGGATCTTCCAGGTCTTTTCGACAAAATCCTGAGAACGGTAACCACATAGACACGGTCAGTCACAGCACTGCGCTTCCTCCCTTCAGCGTCGTTTTCACCGGTACTGAGCAAAGAGCAAACGGTCTTGCTCCGGCAAAATCTTGCTTCCTTGCTCTCGACATCGTTCTCCATCGTTTGAGACACCAAAAACCCTCGTCCCTGCCGTGGTTTCTGTGTCCTCCAAACCAATCCGAACACCGTCTCCACCGGCCGCGATGCCCAGGCCACGCCCCGACCTTCGGAGGCTCCGAGCTTTGGGTCCGGGCGGCCTGGGCACCGACCGTCACAGCGCTGGCCGGGCTCCGGCAGGTGTGCATCAGCGCATGTCAGGTCTTGTTTCTGGCTTTCTCTGGGAACACCTATCTTTTGCGGATGCTTTTTCCATATAGATGGTTTGGGGGCAACCAGTCACTGTTTTTTTGCTTCAGACCTACATGTTGCACCTTTGACTTGCTCGTCTCAGCTGTCCGGTCTTTGGTTGGACCCATCCGTTTGGTGCCGGTCCAACGATGCGAGACGAAGACACTGCGGGATCCAACTGTGAACTTCTGAGGCCCTGGTGACCCAACTTGGAACTCCTCAATGAACTGGGACACCAACCTGTAGGGAAAACGCTCCATGGGAGGTGTATTTGCATACACTCCCCCTAAAAGACGCGGGAGAGGTGGAGGTGAACTTCACCTGGGACTGGTTCGGTCGGAACCGATTTCATGGGTCCATCCATCCTTCCGGCGGGGGCCCGATCGCCGCGGCGACCCTCCTGAGATCGGCCCGATCGCCACCCGATCGCCACCGGCCAGTCGTCAGCGCCCGTCCGGTACTGGCTGAAGAGCTGTAGCAGTGTAGAGGTGCACCACAGTGGTGTGGGTTTGCAATGGGCGATCAACACTGACTGGTGTGCGACTGGGTGTGTGCGTGCAAGACATGCCGTCTATCTAACTAGAATGCAGAGCTCCTTTTTCGAACGAGAACAGCACCGTAGCCAGACAAATTGCTGCCAATAAATGCTTCTCCTTCCAACATTCTTGTGATAAGTGATAAAGTCATTGCCCGTTGTGGCATCACTTGCTACACTTCCATGCATCCGTTTACAACTCGATTTGTAGTTAGCCCATGTGGTGCAAAAAGACTCAAAACGTGGTGTAGCATCTAAACAAACATCACTTTGCGGGCCGCTTTCGATTGGGCGCATGGGCCGGTGGAGCCTCCTTCTTCTCGTTGTGGCTCGTGGAGACCTCGTTGGAGGATGGAAGAATGGAGTTATCCTCGACCACATTGCAAGACAAGAGATAGTGAATCAAGCCAAGGTCGGGACTGGAGATAGGCGAATATCGTGTCCGTTCAAACGGATTTGGGCGGAATATCGTTCATACGAGAGTAGGCGGAGCATGGCGAGTCTCCATTAAGATTAGTTGTCAACATCGCCTTCTTCACAAAAAGTCCACTTGTCGGACGGCTTGCCAGGCTGAGATAAGAGCCCTTGACGGCGGCGTTTGCCCCAAGAGTTTTCGTGGATTCTCCAATGGCTATGATTATGGCATCGGCTGTGCATTTGTGGAGAAGAACTTGGCAGACCTGAAGGGTAAGGCAGGTTGGCTTGGTTGAAGGATTATCTAAATAGAACCTGCATGAACCTGTAATTAAATAGTTAAATATCAAACAGATGGGATGAGAAGACTTTGTTTGGGTCTGTTTTCTCTTCCGAATCCAACCCATTTTTCGCCAAGGGCTGTCGCTGTCCCAGCTTTCTCGATGTTTGTGCCACAAAGCCGCGCTTCCGCAGCACAAGCCAGCTCCATGACGATTTGGTCCGACTGACCGTCCCACTACTTGGGTATTGTCGCACAGGCACATTGGGCGGGGATTTGGCGCCAGGATGCAAGATTCTGGCGCCGAATGTGAGCAGAAAGGTCATGAAAGCGATGTGGGCGTTGAGGATGTTGAGGATGTTTGGAGGGTGGCCTGAAGATAGGAAACTCCAATCTAACACCGGACTTCTCGTTGAAGACAACAGCAAGAGGCCCCTAATTTGCATCAGCTAAAAGCTTTCATGCATGTTTTGCACATTATGGCTATACCATTGCCCTGCCCTGCATCGCAGGTGCCTGGGTCTTTGTTCTTTGCGGTGCGCTGCTTCTGGGAGCATGGGGAGGCATTGCATTGCTTTTGAGGAGAAGCCGCGTGCATGTCTCCAGGAGAGAAGAAGCAGGACAAGCCTAAGCCAAAGCTGCTGCGGCTCAGAAAAAAGGGATCGGGTAGCAGTCGTTGATGTCAAGGTCCTCTTTGACGGTCAATTTTCAGTTTAAACAAGTTAACGTCTTTTTGACCTTGACTGCAGAAACAAGAAGCCTTACTAGTAGTAACAGGTGCCACGCTAGTAGTAACAGGTGCCTTACTAGTAGTAACAAGAACGCTACTAGGAACAAATATAAACAGAAACAAGATGGCTTCCAACACCTTTCTCGATTTCCGGAATCGGATCTTTTTGACGAGTGCCGGACACCCTATCCATTGCAAGGGTCTCGCTGGTTGAGCTAGCGGTTGTCATGTGAACATCTTGGAAACAGAAAATTCCTGGCTATGTTGACACAGGGGGTATCTGAAACCTTTAGACCCCTAGTTCACCATTTATTCTCAAAGGCAGATTCAGCCAGCTCTCAACTATCTTGGCATAGTTTTCCCGCAGTTTGGTTAGCGGCCAGACACATTATCAAAGTTTGGTTGCCACATGTTGAAGTTGAAACCTCAGATCCTTTAGACTCTAGACTCTAATAAGTAATAAGTGTGGCAGACAGTGATAAGACAGTCAGATCTTTTCCGCATTTGGAATTGTATCCTGGCCATCAGATCAACTGTGTGTTGGTTTTGATGATAGCCTGCTCTCAGCATCTCTCAGCTGTTGGAGTTGACACACACGCACATGCCAGGAGTCTTGGACAACTCTGTTCAGCCCGAAGAATGTATCCTTTATGGGCATCAACCACATCATTTTGACAAAACCAGACATGTTATGGTTCCATTTGATCATGAAAGATGATCATTCAGCAGTCTCTGACGCAAGTATCCACCGCCAAAACCACCAAGTATCCATGTCTCCTCTCCGAAAGCTTTTGAGATGCCGTTTGCAACGTCTTTTCCAGATGCACAAAGTTCAACTGGAGTAGGGCATGACGGGAACGGCTGCCCTTTATTTGGATCTGAACCATCTGTCCTCAGTGCAACTTCAGTTCATCCAGCTTTGTGGAGGCAAAGCATTTGGCGGTAAATCATTCAGTCAAAGTATTTGCTGAAATGATTCATTGCTGTGTTTGATGTGACACGTCTTGGCGCGCAGCAGTGTAGCCCTGCCTGTGCGTTCCATTGTAAAAGCCAAGCGGCAAATGACTGTTGAATTTCCTTTTTGGTCAGAACTCCACTCAATTGACACCCGCATTGCTAGAAGCGAAATCCTATTCCAGTGTTCCCTTGCAGGAGTTGAGCATGTTAAGGTCAAAACGCCAGGTCTTTGAAGGCCGCAGTCCTGCTCCTCTTTCGCTCTGAGAGAGTGAGGACGAGACATCGATGTCCGGGACCTTTACGACCCATCCCACCTCCAAATCGACTGCGCCGCATCCTTCATCGCAAGCAGCCATCGGCATCAGCGCCGAAGCTCAAGCGATACAGGTGGATTCCTTCTAAAGAGGACTGACAGGACGAAGAACTTACTGACAGGAAGTGCACTATGCACCAGCTGTCAAGGTCCTCACTGGTCAGTCCATCGAGCCCGTCTCTTGGGAGGTCGAGGTTTCGATCATCCGCATTCCCAGAGCCACCCTCTCCACTTACGCAATCCGAAATAAGCCCTTTCTCTCTTGGGTTTCTCCGAGTCGTAACTGGTAACTTCCACGTGCAGAAAACTCTATCACCTGCAATCAAACTGTCGTTGAACTCGGCACAAGGGACTTCATCCCCAAGCTCCCTCGGGCACAGGCATTCTTCTGCGCAAAAATCTTAATCTGGTCGGTCACAGGCATTGGCCAAATGCTCCTGTTCTTTCCCTCATAGGTTCGGCCTTTTCTGTCAAAGAAGCTTCCCAAAAGGGCAGTTGTCAGTTTGAGTTTCTCCACTTTCACAAGGACCATATTCTTCGTGATCAAAACACTTTGAGCTATAGATTCCAGTCTTGAAGCGCATCCTCCGTCGAACGGGACAGCTCTTCTGGTAGCTTCATTGAGTCGGCCCTTTCCTTCGACAAGGTTCAACTTTTGACCGAGGTCATCGCTTTTGACCGCTCGGACGATCTCCAACCATGGCAAAAAACAAAGGCCAGGAACCTGTTCTTGGCCTCCTGCTTCACATGTGGAGGCCCCGCCCCTTCTTTGGCCAGAGATCATTCGACCCTAGCTTTGCTTCCTGCTATATATACTTTTTTTGCAAGCACACACCCACTCTTACTCCGCAGACGCAAGATGGAGCTCTGAAAATGTAATTAGGAATGGTGAAACTACAACATAGAGCTTTTCTGAGCAAGTAGGAATGTTCTGGTTCTAGTTCGAGAATATGCGCATATTATATGAGATAGTATTATAACTTGTTTTGATTGACCTTGAACCTTAAGTCAAGAACAACCTCTTCCCCGTGAGTCGTGCATGCAAGTGCTTCATGCGGTGGTGTCCCCTTGGGCTTCCTGGACTCTACTTCTGTTCCTAGTAGCACATCGACTCTAAATTTGCCTTATTAGTAGTAACAAGAAGCTATTAATTTAAACTTAATTTAATTCTAATAGCGAACTTTGTTACTACTAGTAGGGCACTTGTTACTACTAGCGATGCACTTGTTCCTATGCCAGGCCATCGAAGCGACGAATCCACCGAAGCGACCTCCGCTTCGGACGGTCCGCGCTGGGACCCGGCTCGCGACACTGAGGTTGCAGCGGGGGAAGACCGCTGGCGTGGGAGCGAAGATGGGGAGTGGGCTGGGGTGTTTTTCGTGGCGTGCAGCGGCCTCCAAGAGGTGAATGTATTGGTATACCAGGGGCCTTCCATGATTGTGGTGCGGACCGTTCCGAAGTTCCAACATCTAAAGGGTCCATCTAAAATCGTCTTTAAAGACATCCCTTCAAAAGCTGCTTGTAAGCCTGATCCCAGCCCGAGGTGCAGGCTCCGTCCGGACAGAGATGCCAGAACAGCTTCTTCATGAACCGCTCTCATGTGGTGATTTTTGGAAGGTTGAAGGACACTGAAAAGAAGGGCATGTTTAGCAGCATTCCCTTTTTACCATTCTTCTTCCTGCGCTTGAGTTCAAAAGGTATCATAATCGAACAAAAGCAGCAGCGGATTTGGTACCTGCACCGATGATTGACATGTAGCGCATGTCGTCCGAGGTCGCGACCGAGTTCTAACCGTGACCCGCGTGGTCTGCTTTGACCCGCCCAAAAGTGGGTCAAAGAATGTCAATCCTTCAGAAGAGCGCCTGAAATCTGTGGCAGGAAGAACACACCAGCTAGGATCATGTTTGGACATGTGTGGCAGGCCACTGGAATCATTTGGAATGATTCCAGGTGATGGGGACGGTTATATATATATATATATTATATCAGCTACAAGTTTGACAACGGTTTGCCCAATGAGTGAGCATGAACCGACAACGCGGGAGCCGTCGGTACTTCTTCACCAAAAGCCCATGCGCCGAAGGTTTCCAGGTGACCGACCGACCGTCGACCCGCTCCAAACAGCTTCTTTCCTTCGAAGATGGGAGACGAACGCAGGGTTGTAAAGACAGATGGACGAACGGATTGCCATAACTGGTTAATCTCCCTGAGCAGATGAAACCAAAGGGTTACATCCTTTCCTACCCCACCGGGACTTGTTCGTCTCTCCCCCCTAGCCCACCTACTTCGACGAACCCCAAGCACCGAGGACCTGCATGGATTCATGGGGCGAAACCCGGGGACCACGCCGCCACTGCCGCAGCGGCCCTGCCACGGCCCCACGGCCCAAGGCCTCGCCGGACACAGCTTCGGCCTCCCCGCCTTGGACCAGGCGGACGCGAAGCGAAGCGAAGCGAGGGGAGGGGAGGCCGCGAGAAGCGAAGCGAAAAGGGTTTCTAAGGCGTTTTGGGGGATTGGAGAACCACCATGCAATTGGCATTTGGTTCCAGACAGTTGGAATGCATTTTTGTTTGCAACATATACAGGGTCCGAGTGAAGATCTTTGTGTCGCAATTTGTTTCTCCAAGAGTTCTTTCTGTTTCGACATGCCTAGCAATTTGTAGACCTTGCTTCGCGAAATCCCACGACTCTGCGTGTTGCTCTTTGTTTTGCGCAGTCAGAGAGCACAAAGCCAGGTCTACCGGTCTACGTGTGTTGGCATATGTTGGCAGACGCAAAAGTGTACGTGAAATATGTAAAATGTTCTTGGTCTGGCGGAGGACAGGCTCTTGATGGTTTAGAGCTGTGCAAGACATGGGCCGGCGCCAGAGCTGCCAGGGTTCATGCACTGGTCCCACTAGCGCAAATGCAGCACTCCATGCAGAGATGGCAATTGAGAACAGAGATGTTTGTTTCTCCACAGTGGATGCCCAGCTGTTTGCCAAATTGGAGAAGCCACTGGGCAGCCCAGCAAGTGCTACAGGTGACTTTATCACACTGACATATCTAAATCTGACGATCCCCTCAGCAGATGAATGACAGAACGACATGGGTTTTTCTGATGAGAACGACTCAGTGGAGAAACCTCCAATCGAGGTTCTTCGGGTCGCACGTCTCTCCGCTGCCAGGACTACGTGCGCGACACGGAGTCTTTGTCCACGGGCTTTGGCGACAAGATCGAGAGGCGCCAAACCGCGGCCGCGGAGCGACGGAGGAGACACGCGGTGTCCGGGTCGAAACCACACACCCCGAAGGCGTAACAAGCTACTCATGTTGCATGACCCCCCTTCAGGAGCCGGAGCCTTGGCTGACGGTCCGCGTTGCGGGCAGCGGAGCGCCTTCGGCTGCTCGCCTTCCAGTTGTTTTGTCGGCCCGTCTCTCGGTGTCCGACGCCACGGGGCAGGTACATACACGTCAAGACCAAGAGCAAAAGGGCGGTGTTGTCAGAGCCCTCAGTGGGTGGGGCGGTGGGTGGGTGGTTCTGAAGACAAGGGGGAAGGGGGTACAGGATACTATGGTAAGTCTTAGACTTCCTGGTCTGGTGGGTTTCACCGGTTTGTTGTGTTTGGCATGTTCTACTCCTTTCAGAGCTTGCCTATAGATTTGTTGTTTGGGTTCG